TGTACAACAGAGGTTAGAAGTCTCCACTCCATTTACACACACACACACACACACACACACACACACACACACACACACACACACAAGCTAAAATCCTGCAATACTTGATAGAGGTCACACTTCTCTATCAATATTACTCATATATTTTCCACTGAGAAAGTCTTCCTGACTGAATTTTGCTTAGGCAAAATATAAGCTGGGCCCATGCTTTTGCACAAACGCCTTCAAACCTAAGGTGCATTTTGTTCATATTGTCTAGAAGTCAATAAAGTTAAACAACTTAACTGCAGGCAAACATTGATGCAAAACTGGAAAAAAAGGAAGCCTGCAAATTACAACAACTTGTATGTCTGGGGATCAGCTATCATATCCCCACCATGTCATCTTTCCAATGATGCTTCTAAATTTTGGTCAGATTTTGTCACTTGTTACTACAAAATTGCCAAGTGATACAGCCTCCACCTGGAGCTTCCTTACATCAAAGCACTGGGCTGTCCAACCCAAAACAACTACAGATAGCCTCAAATAACAATCACAATTGGGACCAGAATTTCTGTTGCAAAGCAAAATGGTTAAGTTGGTTGAGTCATGCCCATTTGGGAGGTGGGAGAAGAGTTGTTAAACAAATAACTTCAGTTAAGTGAATCACATGGTCATTAAGCAAATCCAAATTCCCCCCATGACCTCAGGACACTGCAACTATCATAAATAAATGCCAAGTTAATGCGTATGTTATCAAAACGAGAACATAAATATATGCCAGTTGCCAGGCACCCAATTTTGTTCATGTGACCATGGAGATGCTGCAATAGTCATAAATGTGAGGACTGATTGTAGTCACTTTTTTCAGGACCATTGTAAACAAATAGTTGTAAAACAAGGACTACTGTATTCTATAATATCAGAAAATTCTTGTGGCTTCAGATAAAATGGATACTTTCCCCCTCATTCTGCTAGTGGAGACACAACCTCAATCTGGAATGTGTGCAAAGTGAGTGTTTTGTGTAGCCTTCAGGTCTTTCCATGGCTGTCTTTCCCCTCAGCAAGGACTCACCGTAGCATCTTGTCCAGAATAATGTTTGATGAGACGAGGCCCACCTGGATGCCGCAAATAGAACTGACTAACATCATAAACTTTTCGGTTGATGACCAGCCATCTCTTTTCCTTGAAATCTCCCTTGCCTGTGCAGAGCCCCACTTCCTCCCAGGTGAAAAGCCTGGGGACCCCTGGCTGACTCTCTGACTTTCCCGCACTGACTCCTGACTGAGGGGGCATCCTGGCTGGAAGCACTGAAAGTTACTGACTCCTGAGGTGTGCTGCTTATCCTGTGGAAAGATGAGGCAGCTCTAACTCTTCATTCTGATAGATGTTGCAGTCAAGTTTATATAGACTCCAACAACCACCCACACTTTCTTATCTTTCTATTGCCCTAGATAAGCTCTTGCTCCTCCCTCCCATTGCATTTCTCCATGATGATATGAGTCTTTTGTTGTGCACAATGTGTATTTTGATTAAAATTTGAAACAGCATAAACAAGCATAGTTTTCAGCAGTTTTTAAATAAACAACACAATATATCAGTATATAAAATCTTTATTCTTATTTCCATTTATTGGGTAAGATATAGTATAGATATAGCCACAGTAGCATTCCACAAAAAACACATCATTAGAAACAGTATAATTACAACAGTTAAAAACTAATATAAACAAAAAAAAATAGAATAAAATGAAAGTAGAAAACAAAAGTAATAGAAAAGAAATGTAAATATATAGTAAAGAGAAATAAAGGAAATACACAAAGAAGTGTCTTCTCACCTTCATCAAAAGTATAAACAATTTTAGTAACTTATTATCTTCTTTTAAAATACATGTCTTCTTCTCATATCCCATCCCTTTTCTATAAACAAATCCATAAATCACCATCATTTCAGTCCTGATGTCAGCAAGTCTATCAAGAAGTACCAGAGAATACATCATATGTATTTTAACTTTGATCAAATAAACCAACTTTATACTTTTTTTTCTTACTGCTAACAGTCTTAATCCATAACCACAGACCTGCGGTAATAGTGACCGCAACAGTTTTCCAATATGTTTGGAACACCCCTATTTTTTAGAAATGGACCATTCCGGTTGCAAATAGCTTTTGTTTTCCCACCAATAAGAGTGTATGCAACATCGCGCTTGCATAAGTTATTTGGTGTTTTCTGTAGCAGCATTTGAATTTAAGTTTCTGTCATTTTGATCACAGATCTTTGTTAATGTTTTTTTTTTGGTTTTCCACCAAAAAGAGTATGATTTGATGATCCAAACTTTGAAGAAACTGTTCCAAAATGGTATGGAGAAGCAGAGAATCATCTGAGTGAAGTGCAATCGGATTGTGATGAAAATTGTAATGGACGATGAGGAACCCCTGCTGCCTCCAGTTCTGCGGTGATGATGAAGCTCCCAATGAAATTGATGACCAGTTAAAATCTACATCGTGCAATCATTTGAACAAATTCAAATGGTCTTCTGCAACCTTTTGGAAGCATTAGATCCAGAACCACTAGTCCCAATATTGTACTGCAATTACCTGGACTACAGCCAGCAGCTAGAAATCTTGGAATTTCACTTACACCCCTAGCGATTTGGAAATTATTATTTTCTAAAAAAATTATTAGCACCAATTTTCAGATTGAGAAAAATTAAAATATCTATTGCTATGACTAATATGAATTATATGTTATTTCAAATATTATATTAAACTATGGGATCAAATTAAGAAAATTTTATTAAGATGAAAAAGTTACAATGATCACTGGCTGGAAGAATCTCTGTGGTAAAATAACTGTATTACACAGAATGATGTTTTTATTTCAAATAATATCCATTTTGAAAAATGATGCACCTTTTAAGCAATGGCAAAAAAGATATACTCAGATTTATAAGACTGAGTAACAAATGAAGGGTTAAATATAAAATTCTTCAAGACACAAAAAAATTGTTTAATATTATCTGATTTTAAAATGTATTTCACAACCTGCGATTTGGTTTGATAAAAACAGTGTGGTTTGCTGAAAAATAAAAGAACATTAAAACAAACATGCAATCCCTGGCAATCTCCAAAGTGTGGAATCTGAGCCCCAAATATTCCACAATTCAATCTTGAGCTTATAGATAGGATCTTCTATTGGTAGTCTCCAAAAGCTTGGTCTTTATAACTCTTTGGAATGCCACAGATGGAACCACCAGGTCTCAGGGGGAACTTCATTCCAGAAGACAGGTGCAATACTAGAGAAGGTAGGCTTCCTGGATCCTGTAGGTGGCACTATAGGATCAAAGGAATATAAATTCTTAAACACTATCTGAAGTATATGTAACCATTACAAAAATGTGGAGAGACACATGCATCACATCTTACTTGATCCAGGTTTAGAAGAAAGAGCTTTTTCGTGCATCTGGAATTTCTCTAAGCAGGGAACAGATCCTGTGATAGTTTTGTAAATTTTCTATTTTTGAAAACCCTAAGAAAATTTGACAAGCATACTAAAGGTGATGAGGGAAAAGACTACCACAGAGTAGATTGGCTTCATGAGTTATCCACCACATTCTAGAACTACTCCCTCAGTGTTTCATGCTACCAGTTCTGAATTACAGAGATTTGCTCTCTACTGTGAGTAATTGGAACAGTGGGGATTATCTTGCTATATTACCTAACATAATCTTCCTTCCTGAATTAGGTGGAGCAATGGTAGTGTGCAGTGGTGGGTTTCTGCCGGTTCACAATGGCTCGGGAGAACCGGATGGTGAAATTTACCGATCTGGTGAGAGGAGGTTCGACTGGTGGACCCGGAAGTAACTTCTGGAACGCCTGCCCTGGCTCTGTTGCTCGCTCGCTCACCCCTGCCCATCCGGAATCAGCTCCATCGCTTGCTCCCCCCACCCATCTGCACTATCCTAGCCCAATTCGGTGTCACGTTCCATACCTGGGAGTGGAGGTGGTGAACGGAGAAGCATGTAGAGGTCCAGCGGCACAATCCTCCAGACAGCAGCGGCAAGCTCAGGAGTTTTCTCCTGGATTCCTCTCTGTCCTGCCTCCTCTGATCTCCCAAAGTTCTTTTCCCAACATGTGATAGCTTTTTCCTGGATTCCCCTCTGTCTTGCTGCCTCCGATCTCCCAAAGTTCTTTCCCCAGAGTGTGATAGCTTTCTACTGGATTCCCCTCTGTCCTGCCTCCTCCGATCTCCCAAAGTTCATTCCCCAGCATGTGATAGCTTTCTACTGGATTCCCCTCTGTAGCAGTTAGACTTAGACTTATATACCGCTTCATAGGGCTTTCAGCCCTCTCTAAG